GCACAGCCCCCGGGAAAGAGAGCCGAGGGCCTGAACACCCAGTGCCAGGGAGGATGGGAGCTGTCAGACGCCAAAATCAGGGGACACAGGTCGCCACCATCAGTCACGTGACTTCACACACACCTCATGTGGGAACCATGCGTGTTTTAGTGTGTCCTGTTTCCTGTCTGTACACGCCTCCTCGGTTTGTAATGAGATTCGATTACATCCAAACACATCCTGAAAGAAAGCTTCACGTTTTCTCAGATGATGGATATGTTTTCACTGTTTTCAATAACTGATGGGTTTAAGGTGCACGTTTCCTAATGTGACTCGCTGTGTTCCAGTTGGTAATAAAGTCTGGGAAATAGCCGGCAGGTCGACCTTGGGGAGCCATGGAGAGTTACAGAGGGTGAGCAGTGGCAGAGACAAAGTTCTGTGTGTGCGTGTGTTTTTAATTTTGCACCAACCTTAATGTGTCTTCATACTTTTATAATACATTAAGCCTCTTGTCTACATATTTGGAGAGAATATGACTTTACTAGCAGAGAAATACAATATATCTTGTCTACTGGACTGTAAAATATATGTATGAAATAAAATTAGTTCCATTGGGTCCTTCTAGTATATTAAAGTGCTATCTGATGTTGTTATCCTGTTTTTGCAAAAAAGAAAAAAAAAGTTAACTACAGACCATTGTTTCTAATAAGCAGAGAGATCTATTTTAGTAGTAAACTGAAGGTTTAGTTGTGAGCTTCAGATTTTGTGAACTCCAGATGTTGTGTAGTGTTTTTTTTTTTTTTTTAAAGACAACAACTAAAAAGAAAAAAAAAAAAACCCCAAGGAATATATACACTGGAACTATAGTGGTAGCTCTCGGTATTGTAAAGAGATTGTTCTATACAGACCTTTTTGCTGTTTACCCTGTATGTAATAAAGTCCTTTCTAGACCCTCTGTGAAAAGACGCGTGAAAACCGACTGAGTTTTCAGCATGTTCTCATCGGCGGAGCCTTCTTGTGTAATGTAAACTGTGCCATGTTATTAAAAAATGTGAACCAAGCTTCCAGCTGCTTGTTTGTGTGAGAATGGCCATCGTTACCTTAGGGAAGAAGCCATACGTGCAAGACCGGGCTCTTGGAAAAGAAACACCTTGAACCCAGCCCGAGTGAGGACGCGAGGCTGACCTACGGCGGCCGGTCGCCCTCCCTAACGCAGTTAGTGACCCGGCCGGTTAGGTTCTGTAAACGTTTGCGCCCCACACGGTCAGTTGTGGATCTTACGTTCTTTTTTTACTTTCGTTTTTTGGGATGGTGGCAACAACGAGCCGTTAAGTCACGGGAAGGTACTTTCGGATCTTGCGGGGGATGTACGCACGGGCCGAGGTGGCCGCCGTGCCACCTCGCGTCTGGGGCCCGCCTCAGAGCCCCTCTGCATTCGCTTTCTCTGCATCGGTGACAGATCTGATTTCGGGCCTCTGACAACAGTCATTGCTTGCTTGTTCCTTTGCGTTTCAATCTGTGGATTCGGTCAGTTGTATGTTACTTAAGACCTTCCCGGTATTTTTTTTTTTTTTTTCCTGTCTCCGCTCTCTGTGTCTCGTTGAATTACATGGCCTGTCCCTCATCGGTTTGCAGACTTCCCCCTCGTCCTCTGAAATCTGTTTTGTTTTTCCAAGATGTAAAAAACTGTCGACCTGATGAAATTGCTGTTTGGATGAGATTGTTTGGATTGGTGTTATCTTTCTGGGGACAAGACAAAAGCGGCCCGGGTCAGCGGGACGTGGGCGGCTGCTGTCTGGGGAATCCGAGCACAAGTGGCCAGGGAGGGTGTTTGGGAAGCGGGGTGGGCACCGGAAGACCGTCCTGGCGGGAGAGCTGGGCTCGGGCAGAGCAAGGGGTTTCCCGAATAAAGACCCGCTCCTGTTGGCTCTGCTCCTGCGTTCATATCCCGACTCCCAGACCAGAGAAAATAACCCGAAGAAAAACTAGAGGATCGGAAAACACGACAAACGCTGTTTTTCCGAATGGGCCAGTTCTCGGGACCTTCCAGA